GAGAGAGAGAGAGAGAGAGAGAGAGAGAGAGAGAGAGAGAGAATAAACGAATTAAAGGGAATTTTGAGTAAAATGTGGTAAACAATGTGCAAAAACAAGCTATATTTAATCTTACCATGGTGATACCATGGGGGAGTACCCATGATGGTACTAAATAACTCGAACATAACCACTGCTCACTCAAGTATGCCTTCAAAATAAAACTACTTTTAAAAGATTACGTTATAATTACATGCATTCAAAAATTGACACCAAAAATATGACTGAAAATATCGTTTGCTTCGAGAATATCATTATTTGTTAACTTTCTGTCAAAATTTTCATTGAAATCCTATAAATAATTTTAAATTAGTTTTTGTAGTCGTTTTTGAAGAACTGATTGTATGAATAAATAAGAGAAGAAAATACATAAATTTGTTAAATATTTCATTACAGAAGGCTTTTTGCTAACGATTCGTAAGATTTATCGGTTTTGAAAGTCCGTCAAAAAGTGAAATATTTTCAAGAAATATTGAAATAATTGCTTTAATGTTTTACTTAACCTAAACCTCATTTATAACGAAATATGAAATACACTTAAAACTAAACTATACTAAAAACTCTTATGTCTATCGCATTTTGCAACACTTTATGCGCTAATATTGTTGCCTTCAGTGACCAATAAATGGGACTCAAAAATATTTGTTTAACAAATAATGAGAAATATGATTAATTTACGGGAAAATACATTTAATGACATTATATGCTGTTATTTAGTTAATAGATTGTGTTGTTGTATGCGTTTATGTGACACTATAAGCCATATTCATAGTCCTATGGATTACTTACATATCTTATCAATCAATTGATTAAACGCAACAAAAGAAGAAATTATTGTAAATGTTATCGAAATTCAAGCAATTTATTGCTCTATTAATGTCATCGAAAATAATTCAAGTGAAAGCATAAAAATTCATTAAATTATTATCACATGAGAGATAAGTTTTATGAAAATTTTACTCAAATGTAAACAAATTATTTAATTATTGCTTATTATTGAGTTTTAAGCGATTGTCTGTACACTAAATGTTGTCTGCATTTCATATATAATAATGATATGATTTATTAAAATGCTTAGAATAAGGGCTTAAGAATTCATAAACCAATCCACAGCAAAGTGTATTCAAATACATGATTACACTATACATGGTTTGTATTGAATAGATTGGTTTTGAATAAATATAATTATGAATAATAATTACTGAATAATTCATTACACAAGCCTTACATCGGAGCCAATGTGTTGTACTTAAAGTATATTCTGTACAAGAATTGCTTTCATGTGTTTAAATCATGTGTTTTGACATCATATACAGGTGTCATACAGTCATACACTCATACACTGGTATTCACCGGAGTCTACACTACTGTATACTTATCATTGAGTACTGATAAGAGGGCAAAGGGAGGCGAACATCCTTTACGCCCTGTCATTGCATAACCAATACATAACACTCACTACTCGAAATTCAAGCAATTTATTGCTCTATTAATGTCATCGAAAATAATTCAAGTGAAAGCATAAAAATTCATTAAATTATTATCACATGAGAGATAAGTTTTATGAAAATTTTACTCAAATGTAAACAAGTTATTTAATTATTGCTTATTATTGAGTTTTAAGCGATTGTCTGTACACTAAATATTGTCTGCATTTCATATATTATATAATAATGATATGATTTATTAAAATGCTTAGAATAAGGGCTTAAGAATTCATAAACCAATCCACAGCAAAGTGTATTCAAATTGAATACACTATACATGGTTTGTATTGAATAGATTGGGTTTGAATCAATATAATTATGAATAATAATGACTGAATAATTCATTACACAAGCCTTACATCGGAGCCAATGTGTTGTACTTAACACATAGTATATTCTGTACAAGAATTGCTTTCATGTGTTTAAATCATGTGTTTTGACATCATATACAGGTGTCATACAGTCATACACTGGTATTCACCGGAGTCTACACTACTGTATACTTATCATTGAGTACTGATAAGAGGGCAAAGGGAGGCGAACATCCTTTACGCCCTGTCATTGCATAACCAATACATAACACTCACTACACGTACAGTGATGTACACATAACAGCCCTCCCCTCCCCCTCTACCCCACCGTTTGTCCCCTTTTATATAAAACAATGTGAAATATGTGTAAAAAGTGAGTGAATCTAAGAGAGAGTCTAATAGTGCCGGCAATTAAAAGCCATTGTATTGTAATTGTTGTGTAAATATTGTTATCAATGATAATACAGGTATAGCACAGTCGACAACATGTTTGGGCCGACAGTACAGGCAATCAAACAATACATACATTAATAAAGAGTTATAAACAGTTGATAGCAAACACTGAATGCGAGACTAATCTATACGATAAACAGCGAGACATGCATTTGAAGGCCAATCCATTCACTCATACGTACAGACAATGCAATCGTAATGTCATTTCGATTGCAAAATCAAATCAATTGGGTTTACAATAAAGTGCTAATTGTTGTCCATTTGAATGCATGTCTCAACACAACCACACTTTGCATTACATAACCAATAGTCGAGTCGTGTGACGAGTGGTGACCCCCCGGAGCCCAACCAGTGGTCACACCTCTGGCCACCCCTTCGACACCAGTCATGTCGTCATACCATTGATTCAAGTCTAGAGTAGGGTTCACGGAAGGTAAGGCACACTCAAAAATTACGGTCGTTATTACGTAATTATTACGGTAATTTATTGATCAGGTCATTTAAGGAAGGTCGCTTTTATCATTACCATAGTAACAAAGGAAAATTTCATCATGACAAATTGAATTTACACTAACGCCATCTAACGAGTGAGCTTTTTTAGAGGTAATCTGCCCGTAATAGTTACCTGGGCATATTACCTGCGACCTACATATCTCTAGGTAAGTCGCTTTCGCGAACCCTACTCGGGAGTTATTATTATAAAATGAAAGTACAGTATGTTAGGAGTTGCCTGCTATATTTCATATGACCCTACGACATCGGGTGTGGCCGCAGTGGCCACTTTTATCGGGAAAATTTTGAACATCAAATCTTTTATATTATAAATAACCATATGATATTATATATCAATGGAAAGGTATGGATGAGAGGAATCGATATCTGAAGGAATTTCCCAAATCTGACATAATGGGTAAAAGTTATATCAAAATTAAGAAATTTAGTAACAGTTATGCATGTTTTTAAAATTAAATAACGTAATTACGGAACATCATTTATATCAATTATGCTTACAAAGATATTAAATTTCGTAAATTATAAACAAATAAAAAATTTTAACATAAAATTTTTGGCATTTATCCATTAACACTGAACTTTATCCTTTACAACTCTACCACTATTTAAAAATGTTATGATAAGCACTCCATTGAAATGCATTCGGTGAAAAAAACACATCCAAAACAGAAATAAAGTACAAACAAAAAACAGAAATCACAATTAAAAATGATTCCAATTAAATAAATCACTGTTTCAACATATATTTTGCCCACAATTGAGTTGACTTTCACCGAGTTTTAAGTGAGAAAGTTGTCCACAAATGATGGGTCAATGCATTCTCTAAAAGTGCGTTTGTTTTCTCTCAACTATTGCTTTCGTATCTCCAATAAGTGTCAACTCAAACGTTAAGGCAGTTTTGCAAACTCCACATTACGTGAAGCCGTGCACACAATCACTTGTTTGATGTAAACAGTGTTTACTGTACTGTATGTTACATAATATGGATTGTCTCATTGCCTCATTGCTTCATACAAAATATTAATCATATGATTATTGTTTATGGATTAATAGATATAAATTGGTGTTTAAAATGAGTGCTTTTGACGAGTGTTGGCTTGAAATCAATGGTGTGACCACTCGTGTCCTCCAATACGGTGTCGATGTGTCCACAAAGCATGTGTTGACCAAATGTCCGATCATTTTGATGATATCGGGTATGAATTGATGTGAATTAACGTGTTTTAAGTGTTATAACAATATTGCAGGAAATCCGGGAGAAATTGCATTCTATAGACAGATGTTGTCCCGAATGCACGACAGGACACGACTCCCGGTGTTGGGTCTCTCACACGCCGGACATAATGTCGTACCAAAAGGACTCACTCTTCCGGGCATTTCTGGTATTAATACTATTCAACCTCTTTATTGATGTTTACATTCTATGAATAATGTTTGTACTATTAATACTGTGTGCAATACTAATCCTATGGTTAGATAAAGTTAGAATAAGAGTGCAATTTGTGATCGAAACATAAAATTGCGCAAACAATAAATGTGCAACTTGAATTTAGTGTTAGACACTTTTGGGAAAATTCTTATTTTCCCAATATCTTCCCTTCTAAAAATTGGGAATTTCCCGGAAGATATAAAAGGTGTGGGAACTAACTTTCTCGAGGGAAAATATTTTTAATTGTTATATTCGTGATCACAATTAAATTCTCCATTGAATTTATGTATAATATTCAAAGTAGTAAATAAATTTTTAGAAAACAATTCGAACAAAGTTGATTAAGTCGAAAAATATTTGAGATAAAAGTTTTTGAATGTTAGTTTCGATTTTATCGTTAAATTCTACATTGGTTTTATATATAATACAGTATAACACTCAATAAATGATTTAGTTTTCATCAACAGGTCATCGTTTGACCACATTTTATCTAATTTTCCTTGTTTTCAGGAAGATAAAATATCTTTCCTCCCAAAAATATTCAACCTGGGAGGGAAATGTCTAACATTACTTGCATTTGAATAATACTTAATTTTTAGGAAGAACACAAAAAATGTATGCTGTAGTTGACCCTAAAATGTGAGTTGCATTTCACTGAATTTCATTTCACTTTTTATTCACACAAATAAACGGATCCAAACTCCATATTATGTGTTTAATTGTCCATTAAGTTAGACTACAGCTACTGTATAATAATAATATTGAATTCTGGGGCAAAACTACATATACAAACTGTATTTTCCGGGAATATTTTTTCCAAAAATGGGAAATGGATAACATTAAATACACTACAGTTGTGTTAGTGGAATTGCAATGTTTGCAATTCGCTTGCACCTTGCACATTTTTCTCTGTGATTTGCATGAGAAACGTGTGAACAGGTTGAGGAATAAAAGCTAATAATTGGTTTATTCACAGATAATGAAGATTTATATTCACTAAACGGACAAATAGTACACAAAAAGTGTTTTATTGAAGAGTATTTATGGGTTGAATCTAAGATTATATTAATCGGACATTCAATTGGCTGTTATATAATTCTAGAATTATTGAATCGATACGAAAATATTCGTTCAAAAGTATATTAAAAGTGATTGAAACGATAAACAATTATTAAATTAATGAAAATTGGTATTGAGTTTTAGGTTTTGCATTCAATACTCGTTTTCCCGACCATTGAATCGATGGGAGAGACTTCTGAAGCCATGAAATATGGATTTCTATTTGAATGGTTTAAATATCCTCTTTTAGGCGTGAGTTATATATTGGACCGATTGAGCGATTATTGGAAACAACAATTGGTTACACTTTTCCTCAAATATGGCGGCCATAGAGATGTTCCCGAGTGTGTCATCACTTCGGCTACAAATTTAATGCATCCAAACTGTTTGCGAGCATTGATTCACATGAGTCTCATTGAATTCAATTCGGTATCATTTTTTACAACAATTCACTCATTAAATTCAAATTAACTTTTGGTTCTAAACATTAATCTATTATCGATTGAAAAAATTGGAGTTTAGTATTAGTATTACAATACATAAAGATAATACAATATAATATAATTATGTAGTATAACTTGAAGTCAATCACAATCAGTCAGTCAATCGATTATCTGGTTTTCCATTACCTGTATGTTAACCATGTTAACTTAACATTTTGTTACCCATAGCAGCGATCGGTAACTTGTTTTATAACCGATGAATAATGTATTGTATCCATCAGTAAATCTCTGAAATAATCAGTGATTACAGGCATAACTCGATAAAATATTTAAGATACAAAATTTTTAGTTTCATATTCAGACTCAAACTTCAGTTTAAAAATACCTTGATAAGGGTGTGAGGATATTTTGTTTTTTTAATATATACCCTTATCTACAGTATATATTTGTCTTATGAATATAACTAATTTTGAACATGATTTGTACCAAAAGGTCAATGAATTAAATAGAGAAGCAATTGATAGAAACGAAGAAAAGTTGTCGTTGTTTTACGGGAAGCGCGACCAGTGGTGTCCACAAGATTACTGCCATCGCATTCAGCA